CCGCAGCCAAGCCCGTCACCTATTGGGTGGGCTTTTGTTGGGCGGGCTTTGTTGGGCCTGTTTTGGGCAGACTTTTTGGGTCCTATTAAAAAAATATACAACTTTATTTAATTTTTTTGTAAATTATATTTTTGAATTAAAAGTATAGTCAAAATAAAAATAGACAAAAATTAAATAATAAATAATTTTATTTATGAATAGAAGAGAAATTGCATCACAATAGAATGAATACATCCCAACTAGGTTAGCACCTACACATCTATCTATCATTTGCACAATTCTACCCATTAAAGGTTTTTGTACATGAAAAGCTAAAATATTTAATACATGAAAAAAATACATCAGTCTTAATATCTAAATTTCTAAAACTTCAGTCTGTCTTGTCTCAGCCGCTGGCAGACTGAAAGATTGTCAAAATATTGATGGCTATCGGTCTCATAGGGTATGAAGTGAGTCTAAGTCTAAGACAATCCACTGAGTCTCCAAAACTACATAACTACAATTTAAAGATAATACATAGCTACTGTCCAAGTCTTAGACTCACATTCAAACCTTTTGAAAAAATTTGAACTTAACTTCACCTGCCATTACCAAAATCAAGTCTCACCCACCTACCATTCAATTCAAGTCTCACCAACCATTACTATTCAAGTCTCACCTACCAATACTATTCAAGTCTCCATGGGTGGGTATGGGCTTCGGGCGAGCTTTGGGTATGTGGGCGGGTATGGAGCAAGTTATTGGGTTGGGCTTCGATTTCGGGGCGGGTAGTGGGTTTAGGGGTAAATTTAAGCCCTTTCTTAAAGGATATTGGGCTCAAGCTCGGGCGGGCCAACTATTGGGTCTATTTTTTTTGGACTGGGTAACGGGACCCATAGATAACTCGGCCCCTAGACACCCTTACATGCACATTAGCATTTGTTTTTTATTTTTTTTGAACAAACACAATACATGCTCTAGAAAAAAAGAACAACGGTAAAAAAAAATGACTATCTATATAATAAAGTAGAACAATTTTGAATTTTGGAGACAAAGAGTGGTCCAGATTATTTTATGATCAGAAAAGACATCATCCAACGGATAATGTTATCCTAAATTGTCTTGAGCTATTGACGTCTCAGATCGTCTCAAAATTTATGATCCGACGCACTAGATTCATTAATGAAAATCTTTTTCCCGCTCACTACAATTTCTATGTTTAATTCCCCCAAAATCACATCCTCCGACTCCCCTAATCACGCCCAAATATCCTCTCCTTCTTTGGATCTCCTTTTTTAACTATTCTTATCTCATGTCAACAATGTTATCAACGTTCATATATTGATCTTCCCATGACCGATCTTCTGACTTCTCTCTCCTCCTCTCTTCCCCAAAATACTCTCCCATTTCTTCATTTCCTCTGCTCTCAAACCACTTTCTTTCATCTTTTTGATTGAGACACCGTCTACCATCAGTGACGTCGCCAGCACAGTGATGCCAACCACCAGTTATCCCCATCTCTACCTCTCTCTCTCTCTTTCTCTTTCTATCTATCTATCTGTCTGTCTATCTATCTCTCTTAGTTGCCTTCAATTTAATGTTGTATATATTTCAAATCTGGTTGTTTGATTTTGATTTATACTTTTTTCTTTCTAACCATTGCTTATGTTGTAATATCCTATTCATAACTTTCTATGGGTTTTTGTGGTTGTTTCTAACAATTACATTTTGTGCACAACCAAAATTAGCATCATTTTACCTTCCGAAAAAAAAAATTAGCATCATTTTTTAATATTGTTTTATTAGCTTTTTTGCATCTGAGTCGTTTGATAATATGTGTAACTGATGGTGTTTTGCCTTATTTTTTGAATTTCTCATTCATTGATTTTATATATGTTTGGCTTAAATAAGCAAGAGCAGTCGCCTAACTGTGCTCTCCGTCACTAATGCACTCGAAATGGTTCGTCGATGAACTCAAGTCCTGAAAGGAAGAGAAAGTAAATCTTTGTAGTTATCGCCCTCCAAGACCAAAGTAAGCTTCTCATTTTGTATTAAAAGTCTTCAGTATTGTCACACTCACCAATGGCCCTCTAACGCTTCTCACAGTACGGTTATTCGATTTGTTATTTTTGTTCCTTTGATGCATTTGCAGTGAACATAGATAACGTATGGTTTGGAATTTCTTGAATTTAATTTTGAGATTAGCCATCCAAACGTAAAATTGGGATTATTGATTTGCTATTTTTTTTGTTTGCTAGAAAATTTGGCAATTCCATTCATCATTTTGCAATTGCATGGCTAAAGTTATCAAAGATCTTGAAGCTCAGTTCATTATTCTTTGTAAAACTCAGAAAATTTTGAATTTTTTCAGAAAAAAGGGTAAAATGGTAATTTGTCACTATAATGCGGAATTAAAACCTGTATTTTTCTAAAGCTCAGATGACATAACGGACCTCACCGTTGGATTCGTCTTGCGAAATCTAGTTACCTTGTCAATTTTTATCGAATTTTGAGATAGTCAAAATTTTTACGTTTTACGAGACAATCGGGTAACAAATGACCTCATAAATGTCCCCAAAAATAAAATTTATAAAATTTTTTTATAATTAAAAAAAATTTCTAATAGAAATAAATTGAACATAAATCGGGATAAAATTAAGTCGTTTTGAGACAAAAACGAACCCGAAAATAAGAAACGTGCGACGCAATGTGAATCGCACAATTTAAGAGTATAAATAGGAGTGAAATATCAGATGTTCAGATATTTTCACCCTCACTTGTTTGGTCTCACACGTTGGAAGAGAAGAGAGGGAAGAGGAGAAAAATCAAGATTTCTACCTTTCTTCTTCCGATCTATGGAGTTCCGTTGGTTGGAATTCATCGGACCAAGAGTTAAAATTCATCTACACGACGAGGGCTACGCAACCACACCAAGAACGAAAGATTTCACCGAAAATCCAAAAAAGAAATTTTGAAAAATCAAGAGTTTTTGACTTGGGGGTGTTCTTGAGGTTCTCCACACTTCACTTCACGCTCCAAGAGGTAGGGTTCCTCCTACTTTGGTTTAATTTCTAACCTAGGGTATTATGTATAATGGGTAAGTTGGTAAGATTTTATATCAACTGACCTATGGTGTAAAATTAATGAAAATGGGTATAGAAATGGTGTAGAAAAGAAATGAATTCCTAGCTTGGAATTGATATGTGGTAATTACTTATGTAATTCCATGGAAATCGATATTATGTGGGCGTGTTATATGTTTATTTTATGCCTTGAGAATTAAGTATGTTATTGACCTGTATTATGTAATAACATGCTTGTGAAGTATCGTTGGAAATCACATGTTGATTTGTGTTTATTGATATATTAATATTGTGATGAAATTTTTGAAAGTTATATGCATATGATATGATTGGTCATGAAACATTAAGATATATATTAATTTAGCTCATATGGTATCCATTTCATATGAGACATGTCATAGGTATTGCAATAGTGCATTACATTGCATTTGCACAGAGACATTGTATTCATGGGTATAAGACATGGGTGTGGGTGAGTGTGCATGGTTTGGTCAAACACCCTACTAGGTGGATGATGGGTGGGCTCGAGAAAGTTAGACTAAAAATTTGGCTGAGTCGCACGGTCGCATGAAAATTTGGTCGAGGTAGCAAGAAGGGCTAGACTATCCCTCGGATGAGAGACCCGATGGTTGGATACGCACTCCGTTGGTATAAGAGCACATGAAGCGTGTTGGTGTACGCGGAACCGTTGGTGAAAGTCCATGAATTCCGTGTCGGTTGGGTGCTGTTGGTGTAAGTCCATAAATATCCACCCCAATAAAGACCAGGAGATTTTAAATAGCCATTGAATGAGAAATGTAAATAGTGGGAGCTAGAAAAGCTCGATTTTATACACATTGGCAAATTGCATGTATTGAGGAACCAGAAAAGGCTCAGGTTAAGATGCGGGAGTGAGTCTCATCTCATTGCATGACATGGCATGGAAGATCCTAACATTGAATGCATAATTCTTGATAGGAATGTTATAAATTGGGAATTGTTGCATGTGCACGTTTCATATGCACTTAGGTTGGGGAGTAGCCTTTGTAAGGGATACTCTATTGAGCGTAGTTGACCCTATACGGGAACACATTTCAAGTGCGGGATTTGTACCGACAGAGGACTCTCATTCGGGGCCTCCAAGATGAAGAAAAGCCGACTTGTGGCTTTTGTAGCACATTTTATGTAATCTTTGTAAAAAAATTATGCTTGTGAGCATGTAATCGTGTAAATAGATTGTAATAGAACTTGTACATATCGAGCTTTATGTGATAAACATCATCATACATGTTTTGGATGGTGTTGGAATGGTTTTGAATAGATTAGGAAATGAAAAACATATGAAACAGACATTTCTAGACAAAACCTACTGGTAGAACATCAACTTACGGGTAGAACTAGTACAGATAAGTGTTGTCCAGAGGGCAAGACCTACTGGTAGAACATTAAACTGCCGGTAGAATTTTTTCAGTAAGTAAAACCTACCGGTAGTTTGTTAAAACCTACCAGTAGAACTTTTTCAGTGAACAAAACCTACTGGTAGGTCCATAAAAACCTATTGGTAACTTTATTAAAAATTTAAAATTTTAAGAATGCATTGTCATGCTTTTGGGCTATGTGTTCTTTGGTTTCAAGGATATAAATGGACATCAAATGAGTATAAATTGTAGTATATTGGACTTTGATTGGGCCAAATGGTAAAACATACACGAGTTAAACTTGTGAGTTATAATCCCGGTTAAGGGGATGTGATAGACGTAATGTCGGGTTGTGCGACAATTACAGGTATTTCCGTGGGTTGACGGGTGGTCAATGGTTGAAAAATGACCCCTGATTTTAGGGATGTCACATTCTTTGTAATTCAGCCCAGGCTAACAACACTCCGTACTCATCAACATCAACAATGTGAAAGCATTGATGTGGCTTGGTGAGTGAAACAAATAGACCAACACTGACAAAATGGGGGTGGTCTTGGTCATTGGAAAGCTATGTTTTTATGTGTTAATGACCACAACAAAGCCAGCACCGTTGACAACTTGTAGCGACTGCCCCGCCAACGACACCAGGTATCTCTTCCCTCCCTCACTATCTACTCATTCCCTTGCCTCTTTCTTTGTCAATTTCCTCTAGCCTCTATCACCATCCACATTCTCTTCGTATGCACATAAGTTGTTTGTTGAAATGTCTTAGATAAAGAATTTTCCTTGCTCAAATTACTGATGTAAGGTGACTTCTTTCCATAGTTTATTTGGAAACTACCTATATCTATCATATGTGCTTTCGATGGATCTTTAATATGTGGAATATTTGTGATTGCATGATTGTAGTTTTTGATAAAGTAGGGAAACTTTACTTTTCACATTGTTGGTTGTTATATCTCTATTAACTTATGCGCCTTGGTTTAGTTTGATTGCAGTTGGAAATTCCAAATCCTTGCAATGAGCTTTTCCAGTTTGATGCCTCATGGAATTCCAAATCACTTCAATTTAGTTTTGATTGCCCAATGTTGACTGTTGTGAGTTGGCTTGACTTAATATTGGCTATGGTAATTTGTTTATTTGTACAATCTCATGGAAACTTCAGATTTGTTTTTTTCTTAGGTGTAAATTGCCAAAAAAAAATGCGAAAACTGCCTTCTTTTTTCATGGTTATTGGTGAAACAAATAGAGAAAGATATATTAGAAAGGCCCCCGTTTTTGTTGGCCTCAAAATTCTTAAGTCTATCTCCTAATGGAATTATGGAACATTGGAACTTTTAATTCCACATTAATGGTTGTGCTTTTACCTATTCTACTAAAAACCCAATTCCAATGTCTTGGCAGATGGTATTGTTGTGATGTTTTCAACATTGTTGTTGGTGCCTTTTTATACTTTCTTTTTTTAAATGTTCTAGTGATTGGTTTTCATGAACAATTCTATATAGGATTCTACTTCGTTGTTGCTGGTGCTTTTTCTGAAGGATTCTACTTTGTAGCTTCTTAAACAAATTTTTACAATAAGTGTGGTGGTAGTTCAAGAGATTACTACAAAATTCTCTTGATTTGAATTGTTAGTCATATATGGTCAAAAAAAAAAGAAAGAATCGGTAGTCATACTTTTTCGTTAGGGATTTCCTTATATTTTCTATATGTGTATCTCCCTCTATATAGGTGTTTATGGATTTATTTTAGTTGTGTTTGATTTTTTTTATTCAATTGGACATTAATTATTGGGGTAATGTAAAACTAATGATATAGTTAAGGGTGCAATGTGAGAATTTTGGTAATTGATGGGGCAAAGTGAAAAAATGTGATAGTTTAGGGAATATAAGTGTAATTTACCCTTTATTAAGTATGTTACATGAGTAATGCTCTGATTATCAGTGTTATAAGCGAATTGTATTTGTATCACGTCATTTTTACATGATTAACTAGATAGTTCATGTTAGGTTGAGTGATTTTTTACATGAATCCAAAATAACACAATGTTTTTTGATTGTCAACCCTACTTTAGGCATTACAAATGTTGAATTTTTTTCAAATGGATTTTCAGTTTTCTTAATGATATTTTTTGGGTTATATAGTACCTTCAAACATGGGTAATTGTTAGTATTTTATAAATGAAGATGTGTATATAAAAAAAGTTCACCTAACATGACCGCCTAGTGAGTAGCGGGTTGGGCAGCAGGTAGTCTATCTTTATCCGAAATTTGACCCGATCTGTTTGATAACTCACACGGGTAAGGACATGGGCCTACGATACTCTGATCCATCCCAAAAAAAAATTTACGGGTCTAGCCCAACCCAATCAATGAACACCCCCAGGTCCACCGCAGAATAAATTTGTGGCTCTTCCAAGTTGGTCCTTAGGGTTTTTTTTTTTTTCCCGAAGGCCGATACTTAATTTAGCACTTAATTGTGTAAAAGTACTTAATAAAAAATATTTTGTACATAAGTCCCTTATTTTTGTGAATACCCACAAAGTAATACTAACCTGCGCAAGGAGTGGATTTGGAAAATAGTCGGAAGTCATGCACCTATCCCCTTAAATTTGGCAATTGATTTTTCTCACAAAACAAGGGTTTTGAATTTTAAACAAAAAAATCACAAAATCCTTGTGTTAGAACCAAATTAAACACACAAGATTCCGAAAAATAAAACAATATCTCACAGTGAAATTACATTGTGACATTACACGGATACATGTATCGTGTATCGTACATATAAAATTATACGTGCTAAAAATTATTGATATACTTGAATATATCAAACCATTGATAAAAAAAATTGAATTGACACACAAATAAAATTAATACTTATATGAATACAGAACAACAAAACTATACATTGTCACAGTGACATTACATTGTGACATTATACGGATACACGTATCATGTCATAAATAAATTTAACATTATTGTGAAAACAAAATAATAATATTATACGTTGTTACAGTGACATTACACTATGATATTACATGGATACACGTATCGTATATGTAAAATTGTATGTGTTAAAAATTATTGATATATTAGTATACATCAAACCATTGATAAATTTTTTTTTTAATTGACCCAAATTCTTTTCGCAAACTACAATGAAACATGGTAAGAGATGTATGCTCACATCAATTTCTCGTTTTTTTTTTTTTGATTTCAAAAAAAATCTGCTAATAAACATGAGGGAAAAAAAAAAGAAGGCAAAACCATGCTCTTGACGTTATACACAACCGTTGAAGTTTTCATTTCTGTCAATTCTTGGATTGTTGATGAAGAACAACAAACATTGTTGTAAAAGAATAAAATCTGAAGATTTACACCAATCGTTGAAGTATAATCTACTCAAAAAGGAAACTCTTAATATAATAAAACAAATCGCACAAAAAATGACTGTCAAATTAAAATGTCGAAGAATTATAGAAAATGATATTTTAGTAAAGAAAAAATTTTAAAAACTGTCAATGTGTATCTAGATATAATACATTTTCAATTGCGATTACTTATCTACAAAAAATTTATAACAAGGTATTTTCTCACAATTAAGTAGTTTAGAAGGTACTTTCTCACAATTTTTCATTTTTTTTTCTGGAAATGAATTGGTCCTTAGTTATCTGCTATAGTGCTCTATTTATTGATATGCACTAAGCCAATCAGGGCCGAGTCATGCTATTCGAACTTAAAAAATTAATTTAATTTGTTGGCATAATAATTTATCAAGTGATATAGTTTCAATGATGAAGTCAAAAAGTTACAGACAGAATTGGAATATGTCACTGCCACGGTAATGGATCAATAAATTAAATCAATTTTGAAGTCCTATTAGCATTCCTCATCAGGGCAGCAGCTACTAGATAGACACAAAAAATTATTGAACACAACCACCATCTATAATAAGAGATTGGACCAAATCAGAAGCATACAGAAAACCAGGGGGGCAAGCCATGAAACAGATTCTAAGCAGACAAGACAACAAAAGCACACAACAAGCTGGAACCAAACCCACAGATATACAGAGGAGGAGAATTTAAACCCTTCCCCTAATTATCAGAAATGAAGCAATCAAAGAAAGGAGTCCAAGCATTTCCGAGGGCAAAGAATTAGTGAGGCTGCCGAGAGAGGTCGGTGGCGATGCTGCTGGGGGCATGGCCATCCCAGGCATACCTGGCATGCCCTCATGTGCGATAACAACAGCCATGAGAGTGAAAATGGCAAAACAAGCAGCACATGTTGCAGCTGAGACCCCAAAAGCCATAGCTCTAATGCCTTATAAAGGTGAAGAAGAGAATTAATAGAAGTTTTTGTAGGTCTCCTTCAGTTGCTTTATAAAGTTCTTCAGCAATCTAACAGTATTTATAGACAATGGTGATGACTTAGAGATGTGTAAATCTGATCTTGTAGCTGCTGTTTCAAGCTGTCAAAAGTTGTACTAGTAGTATTCATGGTTTGACGACAATTTTAATGTGTACCAAATACTGGAATTTTGTACTATCTATCATGTATGAGTAATTTTGTACTATCTAATTTGCTAATATAATGATGTAACGGTGATATATTCTAATATTATTATTGTGATGGTAACGGTTGAATTTCTACCTTTAAGATTTTATTATTTGACACTTTATTATATCAGTAAATTATATCAATTTTTTCGATCCGAATAACATTACTCATCGATATATATGTTTTTTTGGCTTGTCGATAAGTTCAAAGATTGATGACCGTTTTATATGCCACGGTGATTGTGCCTTATGCTTAGAATAATTTGAAGCCAAAAGAAAGGGTTTGATAAGGAGGGGGCATATGCCTTTTCCTTCTTTATATTCTGAAATATCTCTTTTTGCACCACGTGTATTGTACGTGAATAATTTTTATATATAAATATTAATAAAGAGTATGAGATATATGTGTATCAAAATTAAATATCATCTCAAATTTATCAAAATTGTGTTTTTATCACTCATTTATACTATAGAATTTAAAAAATTGTCTTTTCCAGCGATTCGTTGTTCTAAGTATAAGAAAAAATAATAATTCTTTTGAAAATCATTTGATTCTGTTTCAACTTATAATACATTAAATAAAATAAAAATATTTATCAATATTCTATTCAGGGCTCACTATAATTAGACTAGTTATTCTCCGTGCCTTTATAAAAAAATTGTCACCATATTCGTATTCACACTCAAAATCAAATCACAAACATAGAGGAAAGATAAAGAAATTTAAGCACCGATTATAGTGGGGGTTAGCGGTAGTAGTGGTGGTGGTGGTGGGCAACAGTAGTGATGGTGGGAGATGGTGATGGTTGTGGTGGGAAAGACGACGACCATGGTGGTGATAGCAGCTATGGGTGACAATGATGATGGTGGTGGTGGGTTTTGAGTAACGATGATTGTAGTGGCAGCCGTGGGTGGCAACGGTGGTGGTGAGCGTGGGTGATGGTGGACGACGATGATAGTGGTTGGCAGTGGTTGTGGTGGGACAACGACAGTGGTGGGTGGCGGTGGGCGATGACGAATGGCGGCGGTGGTAAGTGTGGCAGGGGTAGGTGATAGTAGGTGGCTGTAGTGGTGGGCGATGACAAGTTGTGGTGGTTGGTAATGGTAGGTGTGGTGGGGGTAGGTGACCGTGACTGGTGGCGATGGGTGCTGACAGTGGGCGACAATGGTAGTGACATGATGGTGATAATGATAATAAATATAAGAATAAAATAATGATGGTGGTGGCCATGGACGACAATGCTAGCAATTGGTGGTGGGTGGTGATGGTGATGGTGGCGGCGGTTGGGAAATAATGGTGAGGTGGGGTGGAGGTGTGGCAGTTGTAATGATGGAGGTGGTAAGGGTAATGCTGGGACAATGGCGGTGGTGGTAAGGTGTGACAGTGGTGGTTGTGATGGTAGGGTGCAGCAGCAGTGGTGGTGGGGATGGTGGTGATAGGGCAGTGGTGGTGGTGACGATGGTGATAGTGATGATGGTGTGGTGGTGGTGGTAGTGATGGACAATGGTGGTGGGGGAATGAAAATGGTGATGGTGGTGGTAAGGTGGTAGTAGCGGTAGTGGTGGTGGTGTGGTGTGTATGTTAGGGTGGCAATAGTGATGGTGGTGGTGAGGTGCTCAAGGTAGAGGTGGTGGTGGTGGTGGTGGTAGTGGTGGTGGCAGTGGTGGTGGTGGTAGAGCTGTGGGGGTGGTGGTGGTAGAGGTAGTAGTCGGACAGTTTCAAACACTATTTTTTTTAAGTACTTATGAAAAGTAATTCTTAGAAGTATTTGTAAAAAGTCACTCTAAACACATCTTTAATAACCTACTTTTCCTATTAAATTTAAGGTATTAATATTAGCCGTCAGATTAACTTTAAAGTAAAATTTAAAACGATTTCAACTGCGAAAAATAAAAGTCATTTGTTTATCTTTTGAAATTTGAATTGTAAGCTATTTTATTATATAGATATTAGTTAGATCAATATGGATAAAATATAGGTTTAATAGTACTTTTGATATCTAAAATGTGCATGTTTTATCAATTTAGTGCTCAATATAAGGATTTTGTCCATACAATATTCAATACTTGTTTAAATCGTCCATCAAATTTTTTTGACGAAAGTGAACGCATGTCAAAACTTCAAACAATATCATATGACCAATACGTGATCATTTATGTCAAAAACATTATAGACTATTTGTGTATGGATCATTTAAACACTAATTAAATTTTTCGGGTACCAAATTGATAGAATTGACACAATAAGTACCAAATTGATAAAATATGCATACTTTAAGGACTACAAGTGCTATTAATAATAAAATATAATATAATATATAGTTTAAAAGAATATTAAAATTATAAAATTAAAGTTTTACTTAAAATGCGTTATAATATATTTTTATATAAACGCTTAATAAAACATAAAAAGTTTACTGTGATTAAAGAATTATGCTAATTTAACATAAATTATTTAAAACAAAAACTACGTGAAATATTATTTTTTACTTTAAAAAGGAAATGGTTAAAATTTTGGATAAAAAAATATAAATATGCAGGCATAATATTATCTTTATATTTGAAATGTGTAATGTTAGATTGATGAAATTTTTGAAGATTTTTTTAAAGTTTTATTGAAAACTATAATGATGCATATAATTTTTATGGGTAACATAGTCAGTTAAAAAGTTTCATAGATTTTGATATTTATACATAAAGAATAGATAATTAAAAGATATGTTATGAGTAATTTGGAGATTTAAACATGAAGGGGGCATAAAATCATACCACGTGTAAACAATCACACAGGGAGCCACGCGAAGGTTTAAACTCTATCATAACCAAACCGAATGGATTAGGTCGGCAGCATAACCGAGCAGGAGGGTCTTGTCAGATCAAGATAAGAACCAAACATCGTGATCGTAGTCTACGTTCAAGGGATTCAGTTGTACCAGCTAGGTAAATCTAATAGCTCATGAGCTGAGATCAAGGGAGCGTTAGAGAAATCTTGGGGAAAATCCAACAGACAAGGCCGGATTGAAGGAGAATGTGTCATCTTCTTCTCCAAAGAAAGGGATTATTGGAGTCTATATAAGTCAGCAAGAACGAATAGTAAAGGTATGTTGAATCCTTCCAAAACAAAATTCCTTTTTCATATCCATCTACTAACTTAAGTATCGGAGTGCCTTCGATCGAAGAGCTTCGATCTTGAATAGTTTGTTCGTTTTGCAAGAATTTTGACTCGAGAGAGAATAATACTACTCACCAAGGCTAGCAGGAATTTTGTCCGCTTACAAAACACATAAGGATATGATGATAATTTAAATATTTAACTATGGATGGATAGTGCGGTATTTAAAATTTATTTAACATAAAACTATATGAAAAGTTATTTTTTACCTTAAAAATGAAATGGTTAAAATTTTGGATAAAAAATATACATATGTAGACATAATATTATCTTTATTTTTGAAATGAGTAATATTAGATTGATGAAATTTTTTTAAAAATTTTATTGAAAATTATAATAATGCATATAATTTTTAAAGGTAACATAGTCAATTAAATTTTTTTATAGATATTGATATTTATGCATAGAAAATAGAGAATTAAAAAATATGTTAAGAGTAATTTGAAGATTTAAACACATAAGAATTATAGTACTCAAAAAACTTCAAGACACATCTCTCCACCATAACAAGACAAGTGACAACGATTATTAGTTGACATGGAAATAGGGCTCGACAGAGTTCAGCTGGACTGGTATAAATAACAGTGACAAGTGCGGCATCCCAGGGCGCGACGTCATGACAGCGTCAACTAGACTAGTGTAGATAATAATGTCATGCGTGACGCCCGAGGCACGACACTCATGCACGACACCTAAGGTGCGATGCCCAGACCGCAACCACTTGGGCGTGAAGCCCGAACAGCATCAAGTGGACTAGTGTATAGAATAATGTCATGCGTGACGCCCAAGGCACGACACTCATGCGCCACACTTAAAGTGCGAAGCCCCTGGCCGCGACCCCCCTGGGTGCAACGCCCCCTGGCTATGATGCCCCCTTGGCGTGACGCTGTCAGGCACAACATTGCAATAGGGCAACATACTGTGACACCCCAAATTCATAGGGTCCGTTAATTTCCCATCAACCCATGGAATGCCCGTGGATACCGTATAACTCGATATCGCACCGTTGTGTCCCATTTACCAGGATCCATAATTTAACGAAATCCGGGCAGAGTCTCCTTTGTACGGGAAGCTCTACCCCAAAACACAATCTGTGCAATCAACATTTACATGACCCATCCGAGGTCCAATATAATACCATAACCACACAGGGTCCATTTTATACGTAAAACTTGACCACACCGGGTCCAATCATCATATTTATATCAAAATATGCAAGGTTATATTAAAACAGTCCATATATACTCTATTACAATTCCTTTACACATTACATGCCAAAATTTAATTACAAATCTACTTTTACAAAAAAAA